CGATTATCATGTTACCCATTCTCATGTCATTTCAGTCACGATAGGATAGCGGCTTTTTACCGAGCTTCTTTCTGACCGCTAATAAATGTATTTACTGTAGAAAATAGCTACTTAAGTAGTATGCGTTTTATAATTGCTTCTGGCTGCCTTTATAAATTAAAATATATTTTACGGAAAACGTGCACGAAAAATTATTTATCAAACTCGCTTGGTAGAAAATTACGCCTCCTTTAAATTGTATACCTTAACTAAGCATATGTTGCTGTTTAAAAAATTTCAAAATTAGCCGAAGAATGTTAAAACCTAGCGACTGCTACAGCTGAATTCAAGGCTTGCAGACTGCGCGTTTTGTATATCCTGTGCGTTTTTGCCTAGGCTTCGAGGAAAAAAGTCACGCAGTTCCCACCAAATGTTGCAATAAAGTAGGATCATGCTGTATACTTTATAGGCAACATGAATAAATTGACGGATACAATGTATCATGAATGCAAAAAATAACAATTGTTATTAATAAAAAATCGCATAATTAATTTTTCTTAAAAAAATGAATCAGACCTGTTTCAGTTTAAGGTTTAAAGGAGGCGTAATTTTCTACCAAACGAGTGCAAGAAATAACATTTTGCACATGTTTTGTTTAAAATAAATTTGCATTTGTGAAGGCAGTCAAAATCAATAATAAAAATGCATATTACATAAGTAGCTATTTTTTTATAAAATGTCCTTTTTTTGGCGGTCAGAAAGAAGCTCGCTAAAAAGCGGACATCTTGTCCTGACTGAAATGAATTGAGAATTGACTACCAGATAATCACTATAACAACCTCACTCAATTCCGATTAGCGAGTGAGGATTAAGATTTCGCAAATATCGGCATGTTGCGCGAATTCAGGGGCATACCTATTGTAACTTTTCAGGACACCAACATATGTCCAATCTGTATTCCGGTGGGGATTTATATTTCCCCAAACCCATATTTACACGAGCGAAATATTTGCTGAAAAATTATGGGGATCTACATTTCTATCATACTTTACTAACTGCAACAGTTTACCTCTTATCACCCAATTGCTTCTTTCGTAGAAACTAGCTGCATATGGCGAAATAGATGCTACGTGTACTTAGGTTCGAAGAATCGGGAACCGCATTACCGGAAAATATGATTTCGGAAATAGTGTAAATGCCATCTGTATGTATTTTTATAAATGGAATTTAACGTAAATGTTTCAATATATTTTATTTGTATCCATGTATTACTAAAGTGACGCTTTTCAATAGCAATCCCTTCAAACTCGTTTAGCACACGTTTACTTTATTAACCAGCACATTTCTTATATTGTAGGAACCAGCTGTCGACGGCAAAAACCGTGCTTCCTATGAATTCTGGCATCGCAGAACGAATGATATTTACTGTACATTTTTTTCAATTTACTTTTCCTATCAATAAATTATCTACCACCATTAATAAGTGTATTGCGTTCTACCTTTTGCGACAGTGGGTTTAGCGAAGGAATTGTACGGCTGGGTTACCATTTTCGCGAAAGCAAGCGTCCCCCTG